GATGACAGACAGACACACAGACGCGAAACTTTTTGATCATCATTGGAGTAATAGGCTTCGCTAATCGCTCAGCCAACAAGCTGCTCGCCCTAGGCACGGATGGCGGCCTTACTTTGTGCGGCGCACACACTGTGAAAAATATCGTCGTAAATTTACACAAATATTGTAAACTCGAATTATAACTGAAGTTGTAAATTTACGACAGCACACTTTTTATTTGCCAAGGGATTTAAAGTCGATCCATATACTGCATGTATTTTTACGATGTAAAATTGTAATTTTACAACTTGTGTCAAGGAAAATTTTCCTGTAAACCTACCTACTTTTTTTCACAGTGCATGAATCTTTGTGTGCGTTTATAAAGTGCAATGACTGCCCCCATCTCATGCTTGTGAAGTATATTGGTCACTCTCTTGACAAGTGCGCGTCTTACGCGAGCAACGAGCTCCCCTCTTTGCTCGATTTCATGATTCATGAGGTAATTTCGTGGGCGTGGGCGCGGCGGGGGCGCGGGGCTTGGCGACCGGCGCGGTGCACTTGATGGTGGTCAACCCCCCACCCCCCTCTCTCTCCATCGTCAACCTCGCGCCCCGTCGCGTCGCACCTGTTCACACCTGGAACTATGAAATTAACAGCGTTGTGTATGTATACATTTTGTTTTACAACAAATACAGGAAATGTTTGGAGTTGAACCACCTCTTCTGATTTGTCTGGCGACCACACGTTGGCTCTCCTTCAATGGCGCTGATAGCTGAGCGTAGCAAAGCTCTACTCTAGGAAAATTTTGTCAAATTTTCCGGCCCCGCCCTGCAACATGTATAAGATAACCGCAACAAATTAGTGTTCGTAAAGATATAAACATGTATTACATGAAGAAAAGGAAGAGACTTCTTAGCTTTTTACTGAAGAACAAACATATTAGAACTATAATTGTATGAAAATGCTAAGGAATTAGACAATGTTTAGCAAATGCATTATATATATAAATATATATAGCTATATATAGATGTATGTATAGCTTCATGTGCGAGGCTTTGGGCCGCAGGCCCCTGGCTAGTAAGACTCATCTTGCTCAGCTCAGTGCCCTCAAGGCCCTTTTCGTGAAGGAGGCCGCGGCCAGGGACCCGTGTCCAACGGTTACTGCCTTGTGAACTTTACACCAGGATGGGGCTCACCTGCTAATGCTCACATTCATAAAGCCCGTTCTGCGCGAACTCACACAAATAAATGTGATCTTTCAAAATACCTATGCTGACATCACTAAGGTATACCGAGATATCCGCGTGTTCGTGTTTTCGGTAGCCTCAAGAATTGTGAAACCAGGAGACCACTGTAAAAAATTATAGTGATTTTACCGATAATTCGTGTAATCCATTACAAAACTGGTGGTGTGATTTTACAGAAGATGTTAGTTTTACCGAAATTCCATGGTAAAATTACAAGTACCTGTAAAATTACAGATTTTCGGTCGTTTTTGCGAAAACTACTGTAAATTTACAAGCGTCTGTAAAAATCCCAGCACACTCTCGTAATTTTACAGGTATTAGTAAAATTACAGATGCTCTTGTAATGTAGTTTTTCACTCGGAAACCCCACAGGCTGCGTTCAACGATTTTCCTGATCTTGTGGACCGTGTTTCTGCGTTTGTGTCTACAAGCACTTTAGCTCTTAAGACGTAAGTATTTTCTGATAAGCCTGACTTCAATAGATCTTTCAGGACACTAAAGAGTGGCAGTTCTACCGAATTGACGTATTCAGCGCAATGGGCAAGGCATCGGGCTCACGACCAGAAGGTCGGGGGTTCGATTCCACCAAGAGTTCGAGCGGTTCAAGCAGTTTCACCAAAGAAATCTGTTAGCGGTTGACTGTATGAAATAAATAGAACAAAATAAAACAGTCGCTGAAAATAATATTTTCTTGCACATTTTACCTCAGAAAAATGTGGGTACGAAATTACAGGAAACATCCGTAAACATTTTCACAGAAATATTTGGTATCCGTTTTACAGAAATTTTGTGGAGTTATTTTTACAAGTGTTCTGTAATTTTACAAGCAGTGGTAATTGGCTGAGCGATTAGCGAAGCCCATTACTCCAGTGACCGGAAAAGTTTCATTCTGTTTGTTTGTGTGTTTGTTTGTTTGTTTGTCCGTCTGTCCGCACGATAACTCGAGAAAGAATTGAGATAGCGTGCTGGGATTTTCAGGGTCGTTTTGTATCATAAAAAGACAGATCGAGTTCGAAGATGAGCATTCTAGCTCAAAATTTGGCATTTTAAAAAATCAAAAACCACAG